TTTCTTAGAATGAAAATTTGCTCGCACCTCACCGAATTTTATGTGATAAAAAAGTAGATTTAAAAATAAGAAAAAGCAGGAGTAAAGGGAGACAACTGTGGAGTCGATGTCAGAACATTATCATTGATAACTCTCTCCTCCAATATTAAAGAATATTGACAAATTGCAGCTCAAGCTCTGAAACTTTGGATAACATTTACAAACATCTTTGTGAAAAGACATTTTCATGATCTGCATTTACTAAAACTAATCAAAGAAATAGGTTAAATTCAGAGAATGTTATGATGCTGCAAGTTACATTGACCATTCCCAATGTTCAAAAACTAATTAAAAAAGGTCGTCTGTTGGGACGTCCCATATACCCTCATAGGGGTTTCGTTTGCACATATATTAGGAGACACAATGTACTACAATGTGTTTCCGCAGTTTGGACTAATTAGGTCCATAATCCATTGTCCAACATCAAGGGTCACTTGCAAGGCATAATTGAAGTTCAACGCCAAAAATTTAATCTGTTAGATTCTGACTAGATCCAACATCCTAATGCTGTTGAATGCAGGATTGGCATACGGGTGCTAAACCTTGTCAAAGTTTAACGCGTGACTTGGTCCAGAGACGCATATAGTTTTGAATTCAGAGTTGTCCTTCTATTAGACTGGTTGCCAGCTAGCCAGCCGAGTCTGCTCTGCTATGACCTTTAACTAACAGGGTGAGAAGAGATGCGTTCATATCGTACCCGGGTGGGGGGTATCTTGGCGTCAATCGACGTAACGAACTTGGATCGAATTCAAAGAACATTGCAACTCAAAGTAATAGTTGCAACTTAGTTACTAAGTTTGACTTCATTTTTTGTAAGTACTAAGTATTGAAAAGAAAGTTTAAATTATTTTTGGGGAAAAAAATCATTCTTCTCTTTGTGGAACCGACTGCTAAGAGGATGCTTCCCCGATCACTACAATCTGATCACCTGATCAAATCTAAGGTTAACCATTATCTCCTCCACATAAACTATGCTTCTTATTCTGTAATCCTCTACCTTGACTGTCTCTCTGTACAGATTGAACATTATTGAAACTATAACTGGCAGAAAGGCCACCGATCGGGAGATTGTAGATTTTGAGGAACGTGGAACCACCACTTAATTGCTGTTGTTCCCAGGTCCATCCTGACCCTGGGTAGCAAGCACCAGTTAGAGTCCCATTTATGGAAAAATAGTAACCCCAGACACAAGCAAGAATCAAAACACTAGGAAAGTATAAAAATAGATTTTTATAGTAAAAGTACCAACGATAGGTTTTTATAAAAAAATTACCAACAATGAATTTGTATAGTAAAATAAACAACAACGCATTTTTATAGTAAAATTACCAACAATACATTTTTATGGCAAAACTGACTATATTTTATAGTAAAAATGGCTATTAGTATATTTTATAGTAAAAATGACTATTAATATATTTTATAGTAAAATGACTATTAGTATATTTTATAATAAAAATGACTAGTAGTATATTTTATAGTAAAATGAATATTAGTATGTTTTATAGTAAAAATCTCTATCCGTATATTTTATTTTAAAAATGACTATTAGTATATTTTATAGTAAAAATGACTATTAGTATATTTTATTGTAAAAACGACTATTACTATATTTTATAGTAAAATGAATATTAGTATATTTTATACTAAAAATGACTATTAGTATATTTTAAAGTAAAATGACTATTAATATATTTTATACTAAAATGACAATTAGTATATTTTATAGTAAAATGAATATTAATATATTTTGTAGTAAAAATGACTATTAGTATATTTTATAGTAAAACTGAAGATATGGCATTCCTCTTTAAGGAGAAACAAATTTTTCACATCTCGTTTGATTTTGTAAAATTATTTAGAAAAAGGCGGAGCTAAGTAATTATAATTTAATCATTAAATAACGTCACGCTCTTGAATGCTTCACTTTTCATATGAGGATCGAACTCACTACTCAGTCACAATCGATCCAGTGAGGCAAACTTGGTAACCATTATACCAAGAAGAATAACATATATCATATTTTTATTACTTCAAAGCTCCCAAGAAAATTAAATTCCGGCATTAAATGACCCATAAGGTGTTAATGTACCATTAAACAAAACAAACAAAACTGAAGACATGATAACATCAAAAGAAAAAAAATAAATAAAATAAAAAAAAAATCAGTTTGCTATTCTCAATCTCATTTCTTGTAAGAAACACATTTTCACATCACCTCTGATTTTTTAAGATTATTTGCTAAAAAAATGCGTCTAAGTTATTGTAATTTAATCATGAAATACTGTCATTCCCTTGAATTAATTATAAACTTTGAATTTTCATATTTATATTCCGGCATTAAATAACCCATGAAGTTATTGATATGCCGATAAACAAAAATAGCCAACGAACATTATTGTAAAAAATATAACCCATAAAAGGTTGATAAGTCGTAAAAACAAATCAATTAATGACTTAACCTTTTCAATTGTCTGCTACTAAATTACCCAGAGTCTTTTTAAAAGGATGCAATTTGAAAATAAAAGCAAGGCAATATTAGGACTACAAAAGAACTGGGAATATCAAAGTTTACAATATAAAACAATAAATGACGGGAAATAATTAAAAAAATAATCAACATATAAAACATGAATAATAAATGGGAAGTATTAATTTAGTTTCTGATAATCAACCCTATTTTCGGATTTTAATTTTCTTTTGTGTTGACCACAACTTCGATTTTTCTCGATTGGTTATCAGAATTCATGCAAAGCTGTTTTTTCACCCCAACTTCAAGTAAATTTAACAGCTTTGCAATTGCATCTTTTTCCTTGTTATTATTTGAATCTACTCTACTTCATCACCAGTATGAACTGCTTGCATTCACGGGAGACAAAGTGACAACAGGTCTCTGCAATACACAAGCACTTTTATTATATTACTAAGTTTATTTGGGCAGTCAGTGAATGAAAATTAAATTCGGGATTTATTTACACAGTTAACTCTCTTGCTGCATTTAAGAAATAATTGTTTTTTTAAATCATTACAAGTAAAATAAAATATGCAAAGAACGTTTACACAAAAAAGCAGTGCATTAGAAATCTGATCATCAATAATTATTAAGGACGTATTCCATTTCTATGGTAGCACAATGCATGTTCACTTTATGATATGTAAAGGGTGCAGCAAAAGTAAGTATGTTTTAACTTTTATTGAGTAAAAATAAATTACAAGGTCTTTTTCCCCTCTCTCCAACAGAATCCCTGCTCACTCACTTCAATGATGCCTGGCTTTTATAGTCCTGTCTGAATCGCCTCCCAACAGCTGTTGCTCGCTGTATTAGGCAACCTTCACAAATTGGGATATGTCACCGATGTTGATCCAAATTCCCAATGTGAGCCATGAAAAACTATGGAGCATCTTCTAGTTTGCCCTAATCTTGAAGATTCATGAACACGTAACCTCAAAACCTTAACACCCAAGGCTAGGCTCTGTGTGCAAAACTGGATGGCTGTGGTTGAGCAATTCGATAAGAAGAAGATTATTATTAATGTTGTTGTTGAGCGAGAGCCCTCTAATCAAGTGCCTCTGGGGTCCAAACACACGAAACACAATATGCTATCATAAAACTCAGCAAGATAAGAGTATGCTAGAATTTCCTCATATTTTTTTTATTATTATTGAATGAAGTCATTCCAACTAAGTGAGGTAGGGACAGGAATATACAATGCCCAGGGTAACCATTAGGGCATCTAGAATGCTTAGGATATAAATGGTTCGATGTGTAAATTGTCACAAAATTTTATATTTAATTTTGCGCATGCGCGTTGTTTGTTTTCGATTTTGTCGACTGCATAGTATAGTAGGTTCAGTTTAGACGCCGTCTGTGAGAAAAAAAGATCGCCATGACGCAATTCACTCCGCCAGAAATTTGGAAACGGCATGCTGAACTGCTTGGCATTCGCACCGGAATCTTCAATACGATCATTTTAGAGTGTTCAGTGTCAGTCTGAGGAATGCAGACGATTCAGAATAATTTCGGTGAGACTAATGGTGATTACGAACGTACAGCAAGCTCGGAAAACTCACACTGATCCTTCTGATGATCGAAATTGATGGTGAGGGACTCAGATTTAACACGGAGGTCTCCATCAAGTGACTTGAGGGGGTAGTGCTGCACTGGCTCAATAGGGCGGTTGTTGGAAGATCCTATATCTGGCAAAAGGATTCTCCACCATGCCATAAAAGCAAGAAAACCCAGTCATGGCTGTCAGACAATTTCTACGACCACATCCTTCCATATAACTGTTTGGGCACCTCGAGGTGGTGTAATGGTTAACAAGCTTGTCTCGCTAGAACAATTACGACTGATTAGTGAGTTCGATCCTCATTGAGTGCCCCATACTTTCGGCCTTGTGCCACATCTAAACTACGCTTAGAAAAACTTTCTAGGGCACCCCGTCCTGGTGTAATGGTTAGCAAGCTTGTCTCACTAACAAATACAACTGAATAGTGAGTTCGATCCTCACTGGGTGTCCCATACTTCCGGCCTTGTGACACATCTAAGCTACGCTTAGAAAATCTTTCATTCCTTATAACTGTTTATCTAACAACCAAGACTGCAACCCCCTTGATTATTATGTGTGGGCCACAGTTGAGCAAGAGACCAACAAAATTCCTTGTAACACCTAAGATGAACTGAAAGCAAGGATTATGGCAGCATTCACCAACTTAAACAAGAAGACCGCCCAGAAGAGTTTCAGGAGATACCAAAGTCATTTTTATGCCGGAGTTGAAGCCAATGGCGATTTTATTGAATAAATTTACTCTTTGCTATGTCGAGATATTTTTTGTATAATTTTGGTAAATGGGGTCTCAGTGCTATTTCCATTTCTGAATAATTCAGACGACAATTTATCCATCGCACACTGTCCAAGACACATTATCATTAGTAGTGTTATTACTACTATTTCAGTTCAATGAGCTTTCAAACCGTAGGTAATTCGTGGCATTTACAGGAGACCGAGTAAGAACAAGTGTCCTCAGTGTTACAACAGATAAAGTACCTCACTTCGCTTCTATTAGGTTGGTGCAAAAATAATGACGTAATAATGTCGTTTTTTGACGTATTTTTTAACGTTAAAAAGCGACATTATTACGTCATTATTTTTGCACCAGCCTAATATTTCTTTGAATTCTGGAAATTGTCCAAATCCAGGAATTTTTTCGTCAATTCAACTTTTTGTTTATTATTCAACTTTTTAACAAAATAAATCTCAAGTTGACGTCAGAAATTGCCGTAAAATATTGTTAATTTATTTAAGATGGACTTCTATATTATGACATGTCTTTAATTTAGGTATGTTGCATTTATTTTCAGTTTTTCTAGTTGAATTATTCGCCGATATTGCATATGATTCATTATTGAACATAATTAAGTTATAATAATAACTTTAAAGTATACTAAATTTATATTTTATATGAGTACTACCTTATGAAAATTGAGATGTAGTAGAGTGTAGGGGGGTTTCATAGATTCAAAGGGCATCACAAATTTGGGATGGGGGCTTGAGAATCTTGCATCGGCGCTGTCTACTGACAAAACTTACAAGAAGAATAAAACTATGGAGTTTGAATTGAATCATTTTTCTCTTTTCCTTTCGTTTCTTGTTTAAACGTGATCCACAACTTCAAAGTCGCCCCCCCCCGTAAGTATTTTGTTGTGTTGAAGTGTTATTTTTCTTCATTTCTTTTATTATTTCTGCTTCTTATTCGATAGCGACTCCTCATAATTTGCCGTGGAGCCAAAAGAAGATGGCGGCGGCTTTGAAGGCAAAACTTAATCTTCAGTTTTGGCAAAAGATGACACCCGCTTCTCCTTAGCAGCTAAGAATAAACTAAACGAATATATTTCTTTTAAAATAATAAGTTTCTTTCATGCATTCATTCTTTCTTTCTTTCACAACATAGGCATATATAGGTTCAGATCCATTGATTTCAGCTTTTTCATTCTTTTGAAAGAAGCTACTTCTATCTATCTATCTATCTATCTATCTATCTATCTATCTATTTCATTCATCTATCTATCTATCTATCCCAATCTGTTCATATCTATCTATCATCTATCTATCTATCTATTCATCTATCTATCTATCTATCTATATCATCTGTTCTATCTATCTGTTCTATCTATCTATCTATCTATCTGTTCTATCTATCTATCTATCTATCTATCTATCTATCTATCTATCTATTATTCAGTCATTCTCTTCATCTATCTATCTATCTATCTATCTATCTATCTATCTATCTATCTATTTCTATCAACCACATATCTATCTATCTATCTATCTTTATCTATCTATCTATCTATCTATCTATCTATCTCAGTCTGTTCTATCTATCTGTTCTCTATCTATCTATCTATCTATCTATCTATCTATCTATCTATCTATCTATCTATCTATCTATCTATCTATCAACCACAAGCTACTCGTATCTATGCATCTGCTAAATTACAGTTATTTGAAGTAAACAAATAGTATTTTTTCAGTCGGACTTTGAACTTACCTCACTGTTTCCAAATTCCAACTTAAGCAAATCATGTTCACTTCCCAATAACCCCGATTTATACTTAAATCAAGAAAATACTTCGAAATACAGAAAACAAATCCTAAAAAAGGATTTCCGCTCGTCTTTAATCAAAATTCTGTAAATACTGAATTCATACTGAAATGGACACTCTCTTCATATATATATATATATATATATATATATATATATGGAGAAAGAGAAAGAGAGAGGGAGAGAGAGAGAGAGAGAGAGAGAGAGAGAGAGGGAGAGACTTCAGTTAGTATCGAACCCATTACCCAGCGGTGAAGGTGAAGCCCCTGTTGATATTTACTAAACTTAGTTCCTTTTTCGCAAAGGGTGAAAAGCCTGAGGTGCCCAGTGAGGCTTGACCTCATTACTCTTAAATTTTAAATTTGAGAACCAGCTTATGAACATTCCGGAACGTTCTCAAATTTAAATGCCTAATAATAATTTTGTGAGAGGTGAGGAAATGAACAGGGTTAGGGAAAACAAAAGATGGCGACTGATATCGAATTTAAATTTTTGAAGATTGTAGGTCGCAGAGAAGCAAAACAATCGCAAGAATATTTCGCAGGCGAGAAATGCTAAATCAGAACAGGTCTATCAGAATAGAACTAATGGTGACATCTAGCTAGCTCGGCACTAAAACGTTGAAACCTAACTGCCAATCTAGTGGTAGTCATAAAAAAATGCAGTCTAAAGAGGAAAACTTGTAAACACAACTGCCATGAAAATATTTCCAGTACAATTGGTGTTTATATTTGTTGACATAAGGGTCTACGTTTAAGAAGCATTTTGTCGTTTATATAAACATTATTAATAGTACAGAGTGCCAGTGCTATTAAGAGGACATATTGTTTTAAGTTCACTACACACTCAAATAATTTATTTTTTTTTTATTTCAGATAACCCAGTCAGAGGAAGATGTTAACCCATGAAATGAAAAGGCATGCAGTCATTGTTGCTTTAGTTGCAAAACATAGTGATTTAAAAATCAGTAACTTTTTATATGTTGTCAGATCATTCGTTCATAAGGTTCGGTTGGAGCTAGAGCGATGTGATGGAAATGTTTCCCCTGTAGCAAAAAAAAAAAAAAAAATCATTCACAGTGCTTTGAGAACACCAGAATACGGAATGTTCAAAACTTCATCGATGAGTACTCCGGAAGATCAATGAGGTCCATCGCCAAAGAACTCCAGGTATCAGAGTGGACTATCAGAACCGTGGTACATCAGGGCATTCGATATAAATCATATGTAAAGAGGAAAGGCCAATTCATATCGGCCGAAGACACAGGAAAACCGTCTCATGCATTCAAAACGGTCGCTGAACAAAGTGAAAAATCCGCACAAACATGGCATGCTTTGGTTTTTCTCTGACGAAAAAAAAATACTTTGACTAAGATCAGAAAACAAACAGACGGAATGACGGGGGGTGTGGTCTATGTGCATCTCCTTCTGAAGTGCCCAGGGTGATGCACACCAAATATCCGGCTACTGTGATGGTTTTAGGAGTTGTGAGCAGTGAAGGTCATGTCATGCCACCTTACATTTTCCCACAAGGTCTTAGGGCCAATGTTGCTGGATACATTAATGTTCTTAAAATGGTTTTTATGCCTTGAATAAATAAAGTATGCACTAGAAGGCCATATATCTTTCAACAAGACTCTGCACCTTCTCACAAAGCCATTGTAACCCAGGATTGGTTATCAGAGAATTTTTACGATCATGTGACCCCCCAACATGTTGCCCCCTAACTCGCCAGATTTAAATCCTATGGATTATTACGTGTGGAGCGTCGTTGGAAGGGAGACTAATCTACATCCTCAGAGTACCATAGCTGCACTGAAGGCCGCCATTGTCCAGATGATGTCCAAAATGAATAGGAACCACTTAATTGCAGCTTGTGGACGGTTTCAAGCCCGAATATAAGCAGTCATTGAAGCCAAAGGTGGTTTCATAGAATAATTAGATAAAGAAGTATCATAAAGGATATTTGTGTCAATTTGAATTAAATATATACATTGCTAATATATTGCTTTTTATTTAACATGCTAAAAATGTTCTCAAATAGCACTCTCACCCTCTATTAATAGTATCACAATCATCATTGTCCTTACCACTGATATGTGTGTAAATATCTGACGGTACTAAACTGTTATGTGTATAGCCTCCTTGCCTCTCAATAAACACACAGCTCATCGCATGCACACATCTCCCTACGTAACTACACACTATTTAGAAACAGGAAGATCTGTGTGACTGAGTACACACAGGTGTAGTCTTACAGGTACTTACAGTCCGCCTCTCATTTTGCCGCCGGCAGGTCGACGACGGTAAAGAAATCCATTTTTCTGAGTTCTCCTGTGCCCAACATTGGCGTGCTCAATACTTCGGGCGAGCGTATGTTCCAGAAAATGTGTAGCCATTTCTGCTGAGTTAGGGCAGACGCTAGGACGATGACAGGGTGTTTTTAAATTCGCCACAGTGTCCTAACCGTCGGTGAGAAAGTGACTGAAGTCGAGATGTCAGATCAGTCTTAGTTGTTCTAGCGAGACAACCTTCCTAACGATTACACAGCGGCGAGGTCTCCTCAGGATCTATTATATTACAGAGCCTTTTTGTATTTTGTCAAGAAATAAGATCAAAAACATTTATTGCGCTTATATACATACATATATATATATATATATATATATATATATATATATATATATATATATATATACTGAATAGAATGAACAATGATATTAGGACAAGAACAACACACATAAGATTCGCCAGCTGCGCGTAGACGAAGTAGTCAACTGCTAGAAGTGAGTTAAGTGAATTCCATAATGAATCTCCAACTGCAGGATATCTAGCAACCGACCGACTTGGTCAGATGTGGCACAAGGCCGAATTTAATGTGGGGTACCTGAGACCGTAGGCTCGGTCAAAAATTTCTAGTACGCCCCGTATAAAACGGGGTCGAGTAGCTGTGTCCAGAGACGAGATTCTGCCCTTCGACAGAGCCTCGTCTGGGGATCATCTCTGCCCGGAGAATGAGAGTTTGACCAGTACAACTAGAGAAGAATCTCCAACTGCAGACCAACATACACCATTTAATACTGTATTTATATGAATGGGGACATACCCATTATCATTCATACGTATGTTACAACAATATATATATATATATATATATATATATATCGAGCATCGAGCAGATATCAATGTACGAGAGAAAATCATGGAAAATTGTAGATTAATCCTTTCAAATTCACGGATTAATTCCTTAATTTTATCATTAAACACATTAAGGAAGGCGCCGTAGTTTTTCTTATTCTTTGTATTTTCCCAAATACTTTCAATCTCATCCAAGATCATCTTCAGGGGTCAATTCCTAAAACACAAATCTAATGTAATAGAGAGTTGTGAATGTTTTTGTAAATGCGCATGAAATTAACGTTATCAAGACAGGTAACTTAATTTATATTTAAATATTTTATTTCAATAAGTATTTAAGTATTTAAAAATATTGCTGTTATAATTGTAATTAAAAAACAAATTACACTGTTTAGGTATTTTAAACCTTGTTGTTATAAACATGTTAAAACACTGTTGATATATTCATAATTAATTCTATTTAATGTTGGTTGTAATTTTCCTGTATAAGAATTTGAAGTTTTTATTTTTTATTTTCATGGTGGAGTATGCTTGTATTACCAATTAATTTAAAAAAATATATTTGCTGAAACGTTATTTTGCAAAAGGATACTCATATTTGAGTAGATGCTACATTTTTATTTATGGATTAAGCAGTATATTTAGTTATTTACATCTATCGACTTCAATATTCCAGAAATTTTGCGAGAAAAATTATGCGTCCTCCGCCAGGAATCGAATCTGCGTCCCCTAGTCAGTAGATCTGACGTGCCTTAGACAAGTTGGCCACGTAGAACCTCCTAATCAAACAAAGCCCGAATAGTGCTTTTGAATACATACTTCCCGATTCTCGAAATATACATATCCGCTGTTTTGTATCCGAACTTAAACAAAGATAACATTTTAAGAAATGGATTAAATTTGACATATTTTTAATTTATTTGTTTATACGTTATTTTAAATGGATACTCATATTTGTGAAGATACTCTGTTTTTAATTATCTATTTATCATTTTATGTTTCAAATTTTCGATATCCTCAGGTGATATAGGCCAAGATTTGGGCCGAAATCGCCTGAAGTTACTGAAAGGTTGAAACCAAGAAAAGGTGATATCCTAATGTTCGAAATTTAAAAGCTCAGCACGTGAAATTTTTATTTTTAATTTTCTTTGTATGCGTGTTGAGCACATTTTGATACAATTGTTTCCTGGTCAAATTTAACTTTGAATATTAACTTTTTTTTATAATTACATTATCTGTCTGTCTGTCTCTCTCGCTCTCTCTCCATATATATATATATATATATATATATATATATATATATATATATTAAAACACAATGTGTTACAGAGTGTCGAGGAATTAGTAACAGAAACCTTAATAATGAATTGAAAGAAAAAGAGTAATCAGGAGGACAGTAGATAGCGAAATACATTGGTTTTAAATTTTTTACAGTTTAAATTCGCTGGAAAACATGGGTAAACATATATATATATATATATATATATATATATATATATATATATATATATATATATATATATTGTATACGTAATAATATACGAATTTAAATTCAGTCACATAGATTGTGAACATATTTATATATAAGTATTATCTAATATGGCCACGTAGTTTCAAGTCTCGTATATTCTCGTTCAGAACGAGAATAATAAGACACAATATTTGAGACACGCTGAATAACACATCCTTTACTCTTATTTGCATAATCTACCTATTTGCAATATTGCACCTGCATACAAATCATTCGCCTGTTAACCTTCCTTTAGCGTTGGGGTCGTGTG